CTCTAGCATTGAGCTGAAACAACATTTGCCAGGTCGCGTTCACATTTTGGATCAGACTCTCTGGGCAGTGGCTGTTGCTCCGGACTAACCTCTCATGAAATAAATACGCCAGCTTGTATTTTCCCTAGCAACAAATGTGTTGTCTGCCATATTGTTACAGAAGGGCAACACCAAGATGGCACATGTGATCAAGAGAGGGTTAAACCTGGATGTGAACGTCCCTCATTACAGCCTACTCGGTAGGCATATAGCTAGCCATAAGGAAAGCCTTATAGAGGGATAGCAGCCAGGGTGCACAGACCCAGATCTGTGGGCAATCTGCACACACACAGGATCACCCCTCATGGTACAGTTTGCTCCTGGCTGCCCTTACAATGGGCTTAAAACAGCCAGATGACTGTGAGACCCCTTAGAAATCACTCTGGCTGTGGAGGGGGCTGCTGCCTTCTGACTGATTTGAAGAGGAGAGAGAGAGAGAGTTATCATTTCGCTTTAACCTCAATCAGCATTTGCCAAAGGGGTCACCAAGCCATGCAGCACGTGTCCCTTACCCACCGACTTACCTGTCCCACTGTAGCAGACTTCCACAAGTCCAATGTCCAAAATCATCTGGGCCTCCCAACGTCCAAAAAAACAGAGGCACGTTACAAGCCTGGGACAGGACGGAGGATTTGTTGGACCATAAAAATCATTTTACCCATTTATTTGGCAAGCTAGTACTGCAAGGCAATTTACAACCAAAGCTCTGTACTTGCATGGGACAAAGGTTAATGTGCTGGGAAAACTCTGCAGCCACACTTTGGTGTGCTGGTTTATGTAGCATCTTTATTACTGCCGCTAACAGGCAAATCTCCCGAGATGGACTTAATCTGTCTAAATATGCATGTTAATACATAGTTCCTCAGCTTCCATTCCCCAAAAGCGGAAATGGAAACCATTTCTAGAGGACTTTTTGGATGTTAAACCATGAAACAGGATTTTAATGTCAGTCGTTCTCTCCTCCCTTCGCTCAGCTTGAAGATTCAATGTTTGAAACACTTTCTTGCTGCAAAGAGGGGATAAAGGGAAAGGCAGATATCCCTGGGAAGTCAGCAAGAGAGGTGGCACTTGGTATGAAAGCTGCCACCCCAGTTGATTCTCAGAGAAAACAATAATTAACTATTTGCCCTGAAAAAAAATAAGTTAAAACTTTTTGCTAGCTGTGAACATACAGAATGGAGAGGGGGAGCCGGGGTGGGGGGGAGGAGGAGGAGATGAAGAGAGCAAGAGGGGTGACTATAAATCAAGTCATCTTTACCACAGGCAAGGAGCAGAAATCAGGCCGGGGTGAGGTTCTGGCTTGAACCGTCTGACGGGCACTTGAGCTCTCTCAAAACCGAGTTTGAATATCAGATTATTAAGAGCAGTGAAGGACAATGGAAAAGTAAAAGGCAGGAACTTAAGAGAAGGGGAGCTGCTGTCTTTGGAGAGCACAGGGTGATTTTTTTCCTAAATTCTTGTGTTATCTTTTTGCCTCCGGTCAACACCGGGACATAATCTGAAAGAAAAGCTCTGTGTGTCCACAATGACTCAAGAACAGAAGAGCAGGGGCATTTCTCAGCATGGAGAGAGGAAACCCCCATTTCCCAAGCTCTTGAGAAATGTCAAGAGTCTCCCTCGCTTCCAAATTCTTCTCCCTCCTTTGGGGCAGGCATGTTCCAGCTACTGTGCATGGGATCTGCTTCTGTCCATGGAGGGCGATAGAAATCTGCGGCAAGAGTTATTGTGTGCTGGATGTCAGACAGAGACAGACGCACGCACGGCTTTTGATTAGCAAAATCTCTGCCAAATTTTGATCACCGCAGTAGAAGAGCAGAACGTTTCACTTGTCTGGAGCTGCCAAGATCCGTCCCAAGTGCAGGATTCCAAATAAGCTTAAATAAATGCTACATGCACCAGACAACTCATAGCACCATCCTGTTTCAAGTGAGGAAGGCTTCTCTGTGCTACAGCCAGCTTTGGGAAAAGACAAGTGTCGGAAAGTGTTTGACAGACAATGCATCATCCACCGCCATCCTCTCTCGTCTGGAGGACATGTTTGCCTCCGCCATGCTGCTCTATACTCTACATTACATTTGTGGCTTCAAAGTGTTTTCCTTCAGCAGAAGTTTCAGAACTTTTCTACTGCGCAATTAAAAGTTGCTGCGATTTGCAACCAATCAAAACAGAAGTTTTTGCTTCCCTGAAATTTTCAAGTGAAATTCTAAGAAAGCTAAATGTCAGCTTGTGAGATCTGGACCAAAATGCTTTTAGAAATTCATGATAGTTGGTTGTTAAAATGTTTTTAAAATTTAATTTTGCCACCTGGCATAAAGTGGCCAGTTCTGCGAAGTGGAAATTGGAGGGAAGCCAAGGAGAAGAGACTTCTTTACTTACAGAAAAATAAAATATCCCAGTTTTACCCATGGATCACTCGTCTATATGTTATACCTAGAACATACTTCAGGAAAGTCCAGCACCAAAGCACATAGGCCATGTCTAGATGAGCATGGGTGTACGAAATATGGTGCTGCAGACCCATCTGTGGTGTCGCACACTGCACAAGCAGGCAGTCCCAGCGCTGCTATCTTGCAGCACCCAGGGGTTGTGGGGGTTTGATCCCAGGAGATTCTGGGGTCAAAAAAAACACATGCCAAACAGAAGTAGGGAAGCGTATGTGGCAGCAAGGCATGCCACCAAAGACTGAAGTCTAGCTGGCCGGAGCCACGATCTGGCTGCCAGCCAGGCTTTGTGATGCAGGACTGCCATGGCTGGAGCTCCCTGAGAACCCCAGAACCCTGGGTAAGGCTGCTGGGGTCAGCACAGTTGCTGGCCCCAGCCTCCCCTACTCCACCTGGGGTAACCTGCCATGCAAGAGAGCATGCGTGGCATGCACAAGGTGTGCCGCTGCTACTTGTCCCTGGGGAAACAGATATCTGTGCTCATGTAGACATGGCCACATCATAGGAAATGGGACTGCAAGGGACCTTCAAAGGAGTCATTTGGTCCAACCCACTGCTCAAGGCAGGATCATCCGTGTCTAAACCATCCCAGACAAGATGTTGGCATGCAGGTTGGACGGGGATGGATATTCCCAGAACAATCCTCCCAGAGCTTGAAGACTACAAGTTCTGCAGCTGATCTCAATGTGTGTTATAGTCTCACATGCCTTGGTAAATAGGATGTCAAGACCCTTGTTTGCGAGGGGTAACAGACATTATGTAACTTGACCTAAGTTAAGTTGTGAGTGAATGGAAGAGCTAGGAAAACAAGAGCCCTGAATTCATTTGCGGGAACAGCGTTACCTATGCATACACCCACTGGGAGCCATAAAGACATCCTTGAAGGTGTAATTCAGTTCAGATACAGCACTGCACCTAGGAGATGTGAACACAACACAACATCTCTGGGAGGCTCTTCAGTGATGACCTAACACAATATATCATAGCATCATATATCTTCATCACCTCCTCCCCACAACACAACTGATAAAAGCACCTAAATCCTTTTTTCTTATTACACAGTAGGAGGGTTAACCATTGCCGTGAAGGATAAGTACCCTTCAAAACACAAACCAAAAAGACAAGCAGACAGGAAAGAAAAAAGCCCGTGCGAGTTAGCCACACACAGATGCCAGTGAGACTAACACTTCTACAGTCTTAATTTTTTTTAATTTTTTTCAAGCGCTAATGACAATTATCTTTGTGAGTTATAGGCGCAATATCTGGGAGACGCAGGCAGTAATTAATGCATGTCTGCCTTCCCTGACAAGTTCCTTCTGCTGGGTCAAAGAGTTATTGAAATTCAGAGAAGAAATCCTCAATCATGTGGAAGTTTTAAAGAAATAGGCCAAGACGCAATTTAATAAAGCAATAATATTTCTTTTAAATAATTAACCAGGCTTTGACATTCACTAATATTTCCGAGGCCTCGCTCCTGATTCGGCGTTATTGCAAGAGCGAGACGTGCTTGGGGAAGGGATCCGGCCACCACACACTCCTTATGAGGCTAACTGGAAATATTATGTTGATTTATCCCTGGCCCTGGAAGTTCCCTGCTCACACTATTGATCCAAAGCTCCTTCCTCCAGACCTCTCCAATCCAGTTTGTATTTTCATCCCTAACTGGATTTCCAACAGGTCCATTTGATATTCAGAACTACTCAGCTCTTATACCCTGCATACAGAGCCCTTCTTTCCTCACCTCCAGTGGCTTTTGTCTTCAGAGATATCCATTTAACCCGCACTGAATGAGAGAAGCTGCATTTACAGACCCCTAGAATAATCAGTTTTGGTCTTGCAACAGATCCACAACACTTTGATCCCATAGCAATGGGTGCAGTAGACAATCCTAAGCGAAAGGGCCACCTGGGCTAAAGTACAATACCAGATGCTGCTCTGGTGGTATATTCCCAACCAGTTCCCCAAATAAATTCACCCTCCAAAAACATAAAAGGAACAGCACTTTGAATAAAATAGCCATACTGCAAACACAATTCTGCACACGTACATGCAAGTTTCTGCAACATAACAGATTCAATATTTTATATATAGCTTTGCAACCAAAATGATCCTAAAACACCCTGTAAGTTTTAAAAGCTCTGTATAAAAATCAGAACTGCTTCACCAAGCACTGAAGTGCAGACACTTCTGGGCTTGTCTAGCATTAGAGATAGACAACTGCAGGCAGGGGGGAGAAAGAGCATGGGGGGGGGAGAGAAAGAAAGCAGAGACAGAAAACGAGTGAGCGAGCGAAAACAAGAGGGAAATATCATAAGTCATAGAAAGTGCAGGGGAAATTTAGATCAGCAGACCATAGTGATCCAAGTGGACTGCAGCTGGGGTAGTCTAGCAAGACCAGGCTGAAGTCCAAAGTTTTACCCCTTTGCTGTTCAACCCCAACACTTGACTCCATGGAAACCTGGGCAGACCATGTCAGAAAAGAACCAACAAGGAGAGGCAACCACAATTCTGGGCACTCACCAGATAGAGTCGGTAAGCATCGATCCGCCTGATGGGGCCCCAGCATTTGTCCGTATCGTTATACTTTGTGCCATCTCCAACGCTGCAGGAGTGGTTGCCAGTCATACTACTGTGAAGGGGGGAAACAAGAACCAAGACAAGACTTCAACTTCCTTTCTTCCGTCCGCACCAGTCCGTCTTCCCCTCTATTCCATTCAAAGAGAGAGGGACACAAAAGAGATTCCCTCCCAATCTCGCTGGGTTAACACATTGGTCAGTGAATATAAAATCACTGGGAGTTATGCAAAGAAACTCAGATTCTTGGGTTCCTTGCACCAACATGCGTACATGATCGGAGTAGATGGTTTAAGAGACTGATACTGGCACACAGAGACTTGCACTTAGAAGTCACAATTTCAGATTCATTCCAGAGCTGGTGGGACACAACGCTGTTCTGTTGGTCTGAGTCCTTGCTTTAATTGTGCAAAGGGACCTACACCCATTCCCCTAATTGGTCAGCTGCCAACTGATAGTCTGGCACTAAAATCTGATTCAGACTAAGCCAGGGCATGTGACTTTTCAGCCAGCTAAGCTACAGCTCTAGCAAAGAGAACAAACTAGAGACGGATATGACCCAACTGCACTAACCCTCTTTCAGCTAGCGATGACCTGCTCTTGAGCCATCTCTCCTTCCGTCCTACAAGAGGCAAAAGCAAAACCATGTCTACTCAGTAACCACACAGTCACACAAGCGTCCACATCCAAAGGCTTCACATCCTCCGTCACTAGCATGTTATATATCCCAATGCTCTCAAAGACATGCATTCAGAGGCATACTCACCAGGTCACCTGCATGAGAGAGACTGGTACGGCCGCTGCATAGATTGCCAGGTCCCCGTAGAGGTATATGATGATACAGAAGTAGAACAAGTTCACACCAACTGTAAGAAGAGAGAACATTTTAACAAGGAGGCTGGGGACAGGTGGGTCATAACGTCATGCTCCTAGAAGTCAGATGCTCATTTCATGCTGCTTTCAAAGGCTTTTAGATTTCGTTTGCTTGTCCTATTTTATTGTGGTCAGTTATCTGTTGAGAGGTGCTGGTTTAAATGCTTCAGGGCCTAGAAGTTATAGCCTTCCATGCTCCCTCCTCCCCCCTGACCCTCAGAGTATAGGCAGTAGTAATGGAGACTGACTCACAAAGATCAGCTTTGGCTCAATCACTGCTTCTTCACACAGGGTGCCAGAAAGGGAAACAAGGGCTAATTACGAGGGATTTTTTTGTGGGGGTGTGGACCCCTACATACCAGAAAACTGAGTGAGACCAACCCCTTTCATACAAGCCACTCAGCAGGGAGGGCCTTTGCCATACAATAGGAGCCTAGAAGTAAAAGAGGTTCTGTAACCAGTTATTAGCCACCTAAAACAAGGGTTGGCAACCCATGGCCCGTGGGCTGGATGTAGTCTGCAAAAATTATTTTGGCTCAAGTCAGGGAGACAGCAGCAATTGGGGGCCATTGTAGGGAGAAAAAGAATCAATGGCAGTGATGGCCGAATTGCATAAAGCAGCTTGCTTTAGGACAGAGCTGTGTATTAGTTTGACCTGCCATTGCTGAAAGGCTGCAACACCAAGACCTAAACCAGTTGTTTCCAACCTTGTTAGACTCAAGGCCACCTTGGAAAATGCCAGCTTTAGTTTTCACTCATTTTTTGATTACAGAAAAACAACAGAGCAATTCTTCGGTTGCAAAGAACTTGGAAACAACACGTCAGAATGTTTTTAACACTCTGGATTCCCAGTCGAAATCTCTGGGTTTATCTAATGAGCCACATCTGCACACTGAACACTATTAACATTGTGTGGCACCCCTGAAAGGATCTCTAGACACCCCAGGATGCCATAGCAGCCTAGTTGAGAATCAGTGACCTAACCATCCCAGTACTTCTTGTTCTGCTCTCAAACACCATCTCCAAAGACCCTGATTCACTGGTGAGCAGAAGCCCAATTCCTTTAATAGATTTCATAGACATTAGGGCTGGAAGGGACCTCGCAAGATCGTCGGGTCCAGCCCCCTGCCCAAGGGGCAGGAAGTCAGCTGGGGTCAAACGATCCCAGCAAGATAGTCCCTTTTGGGGAACTATTCTCAGCACTTCAACTAAGAAGTGCCAGGGGACTGGTAGGATGGCAACAGTGTCAACACAGCTGGAATGCAAAGAATTGCAGAAGACTCACGAAACCCCAAAAGCCCGTTCCTTGTAGTGCCCTCACTCAGCAGCACGCTGACTTGAAGCTCTGCACCAGTCCTCCACAGGGCTTCACCTATACGTATTACAGACCTGAAGCTAAGCTTCTTTGGAAAACTTCTGCTAAGCACATAAAGCTTTTGGAGCTAAACTGCAATCCTGCAAAACTCGAACATTTCAATTCTGCTGCCCTCAGATCTCAGGGCTCTACAGAAGAATTTCACTCGTTCTCTCCTGCCCACAGTCTTTCATTAAAATCAGATTTTACTTGTCCTGCATTCAGCTGTACGGAAGAGGAGAAAATAAAATAAATAACTAAATCTGAAATAAAAAAGTTAATTTCATGGACAACCCCCCCTCCCCCCGAAAACCTTAATGGGAGAAAACAGGAAACTCTGCAGTGGTGAGCGGAAATCAATAGGCATAAAAAGATGCCAAATTGCACTGACCCACTTTGAAGAAATGGGAGCCAAATGCCTCAATCTAAACAACACAAAGCAAATCTAAACAGATTTTCATTCAAAGGCAAGCAAGCCATGAAAAATCATGCAACTGTTTTACTTTAGGAAGGAAATAAATAAGAGGGAGTGAATAAGAGGAGAACAGCTTGAGACGACAGCTAATGTTTTGATAGATCTATGCGCTCCCTCTTGTTTTAATCCCAGGTGGTGTTAAATTTTCCTCGGTGGCTTGCAGGAGTCGTTAGCTTCTCTGTGCCTTGCATTCACCATTTGTAAAACGAGGTCGAGTGCTATTGCAGGCATGAAGGTTAGCGCTGATGCAATGCTCTGTAGCCTAGAAGCTCTACCACACATTTACACCGCACCCATCACTGTAGTACCTGGGTGCCGTTACGTTCCAAAAATCATTGTTCATCTTCATACAACCACTTAAAAATAGGGCTGGAAGGGACCTCAGGAGGCTGGTCATCAAGTCCAACCCATGTTTGAAGCAGACCACCCATCTCATCCAAGTGTTTGTTTAGGCTGCCCTTAAAAACTCCCAGGGATGGAGACACCACAACCGCTCTACATTATCTGTTTCAGTGTTTAACCACCATCGCAATCAAACAGTTCTTCCTTACGTTCAACCTAAGCCTCCCATGTTTCAATTTAAGAGCATGACTTCTCATCCTGTCCCCTCCAGGAACCGAGAAGAGTCTAATCTGTTTACTATCATGTTTATAACCACCCTTCAGGTTTTTTGAAGATTTATCTAATCCCTCTTCAGTCTTTTCTTCTCCTGAGCGAACAATCCCGCTTCTTCCAAGATTTTTTTGTAAGTCATGCTTCCTAAACTCTAAAAAATATCAAATATTTTGCTAACAAGATATCAAATAAATACTATGTATTAAATTCAATTTTTTTGTTGCATATGTGGACTTGATCCTTTTAATTAATGATGTGCTGCTTGGAAGGTAGCAAGGTACCTTTCCTGCTTCTGTGAAAAAGAAATCAGAGATGCAGTCCTTAATCATTTTTACCCCACACCATCTCCAACTCGTATTTAAGAAGTTCCCTCTTGCATCATTGCATCCACCAATCTCTCAAAACCAGGGTGGCATTTCTCAAGACATTAATGGGGGACACAAGAGAGGAGACTGGAAGAGAGCACAAGGACTCAGTATATTGATTCTGTGGCTTTGTGCGTGTTGGTGCTGAGATGCCATTATTATTGAGTCACTGAAGTGACCTTCATAGTTAAGACTTTAACCAGATTTTCACTCTAAAGTTGAGTCTTAATATCCCTCTCTAACTTCCTCAAGAAAGAGAGCCAATTGCAGCCTAAATGCACTTGCCCATATTGTAGCCTGGGAGATTTTTCTTTTTTAGAAGAATTTGAAACAATAAGGTTGCCCTCAGGGAAACATTTTTACTGTTGCATTTAATAAACAGGAGCGCCAAGTGCTCACCCCACTCTGGAAGAGTCAAGGCGTTCGATATTTGTTCTTTTTATTTGTAAGTAAAACCCGCAACTCCCACATCTTCCTATTTTGCTAAGCTACTAAGGTCTAGGCCAGGGGTGGGCAAAATGTGGCCCATGGGCCAGATGTGGCCCGCCAGGAGATTCTATCCAGCCCATGGGGCTCCTAAAAAAATTAGAAAATTAATATTTTTGTACCCCCCGGCTGCCTGTCATGAGGCCCTTGATGGGTTGCCAAAACTCAGTAAGTGGCCCTCTGCCCAAAATAAATTGCCTGCCCCTGGTCTAGGTGCTCTCCTTGAGCCTTGTTCAAAGAGATGCATGGGAGTAAAGGGTTAAACAGCTGGGATGTCTACAAGAAAGAGACAAGCTTCCCCTAACCAAAAACTTTTGGTCAAGAGCTAAGGATTTAAATGTATTGATTTCTAGAGAGAAAGAGAGAGGCAGCAGGACTCCGTGGGGATGGCTCTGGACAGGGTAGGAGAAGACCCTGAGCAATTCACTTTGCCTTAGATGCCCACATTTGCAAAGTGGGAGTCAGGTTTATCACACGCATAAAGCACTTTGAAATCTCTAGGGTATTTCAGCCTCAGAAAAGCTAAATATGAAATTATTCCATAAGGAACTTGCTAACAAATATCTGTAAGGCAGAAAGTTCAGGGATAGGCTTCTCTGAACCTCATCACCTCTGACCCTGTATCAATAAACTGACACCATTCTCCAAATGGAGAGATCCTTTATAATTTCGGACAAGGTCAGGGGCGATCACTGTCATGGTTATTAAGTCAGCACAATGATTTAAGGCTCTTTATGTTTGTCCACTTGAAACTCCAGTTCCATTTAAAATAAAGAAAAGAAAAAGAAATCAGACCTGTCAATCGTTGGGAACACAACCCCACCCCACCCCGGCTTCTCTTGACATGCAGGCATTACCCTGTCACTGCAAAGCCCAAAGCAGAGGCAGCGTTCCCAATCCGACTTTCCAATCGGTGGAGAAGTTCAGGTAAGAGATCCCCCTTGCCCCCACCCCTCTCCGATTGCAGACAGATTCTAGTGTTGGTTCTGTTTATAAACTGCCACCGACCCTCCCTGATCGATACTTTCATTACCGGACAAAAAATGGGAAGATCAATGACTTCCTACGAGGACGGGGCGTGATGAATGTGCACAGAATCCATTATTACAATAAATGACTCCTGGATCCCTGGAAGTGAGGGCCCGGTGTTGCGGGCTTAGAGAGCCATCCTTCAGAGCAGGCTCCTTTAAAAAGGAAACAGAGCCGGGCACCTTTTATCTTCCTTTATAGCCCAAACCTAAGTCAGCTACCTTCAGAAAACAGATGGAGATTCAGAAGTGAAAGATTTATACCCATCTTCACTCCTAGGCTTGCAGTCACATCATATCAGATTGTTAAGTCGGTCAAGGGAAATGAGCAGAGAACTCATTAGAAACAGGAGGGTTTTTCCTTTTTTACAGGCCAATGACTCCGATAGGAATTTATGAGTAGGCCTCCACCCACTCTCTCTCCAGCAGCCACAAAGTCCCACCCCAAACACCTCATCTCCTGTACTACCCAGGACCTGGATCCAAAAAAAAAAAATAAAAAAAAAAATAATCAGCTGCTAATGGCACAACTGCAGAGGCTAGCACTTTGAGTCACTACTTTCCAACTCCAGCCCCAGAGAGCCTCAGCTTCTCATCCTAGAATCCAACTAGCCATTGTACAGCCCCTTTATTCAAGGCCACTTGAGCTGTACAGCTCCGTCAAAAGCAACCCGTGTTCTATGACAGTCTGCAAAAAAAAACCAAAAAACAAAAAAAACACACGTTTAACTTGGCTCCGCTCTCTGTGACCTCTCAGTGTTGAGCTCTTCTAACCAAACAGCAGGGCATCTTGAACTAGAGCTCAGGGATGTATTATCACATCTGACTGAGGGAGTAACAGAAAGTGGGAAATGTGTCACAGATCCCCCAACAAGTTACCTAGGTTCACCTCCTGTCTAACCTGGAAATCACAAGGCTTTCATGCTGGGATCTACAGCAGTATAACTTACCTTTCCCCTCCCTGATATTATTTGGAGATTACATATTTCTGGGAGATTCCTAGCATGCAAATCGGATACCTCAAGCTAAAAATAAAAGGGATGATACGCCGAATACTTAAAACAGTTTGTAGCACCTTGCAAGGAAATGGACATTCACATCTTCAGCTGAGGCTAGAAGAGAAGAGTGTATTCCCAGCACCCTCTACTGGAGGAAATTACACCTAATTTAAGAGCCTAAATTCCTCACAGGACATCATCTGCCATCCAATACCTGAGTAGGGGCAAATGGTCATTATTACCACTGTCCTGCTAATGTTCTCGTAGAGGGCAAACTACCAATTTTAAGTTTATCTATGCACTGGCCAATACATCACCTCCTGCCCACACTGTTTCCATAACTAGCCAGATAGGCCTGCCATCATACATGGATAAATACTCCACGGTACTACTGAAAAACAGGATTTCCAAGTGCTCTTCATCTTTAAAGTGCTTCCCAAATACAAACTCCCAAACTACCACTGCACAGTAGCTTCTCCATATTAGCACCATCCTACAAAGAGGGCAACACAGGGGAAGAGTCTTGACCACAGGCACAACAAATCTGTGTTTGAGCTGGGATTAGAGCCTACATGTTCTGGCTTCCAGGCCAACATCCAGGCTATCTTCTTCCCAACACTACAGACAAGATCTCCAAAATACCCTAGGTGGCTTGGGAGAACATATATCCATTTAAAGTACGCTGTCTGCTGATATTACTTAGAATGTTTTGAAAATCCCATCCCTTGAGCGTGACTTTGCACTCAAGTCAATGGAGATACACAGGCATAAAACTGGTGTCATGTAGTGGAAAAGTCAGCTCACTGCATTATAAGAAGAGACTGGTGAACAAAAAACATGTCATTGACCTCCAGAAGCATGGCCCCATGAGAGCCAAATGGCAAGCCCATGGCATCCAAGCATTTGGTTCTGAGTGATATTTCTTTTCAGATGTCCTATTCTCCAAGTATCATCTCTTTCATTTTTATGGCTTCTATCTCTATTGCAAGAAGTGATGAATACAGATTTATATTGCAGCCCCCTCTGTGTGGTTCTTACTTAATTATAGTTACAGGTTTTTGCTTTCTGTTATACAATAAAAACACATTTAATATGAAGACAAGATGTCTGTCTCCATTAGGTGTACACAAGGGACCCATTCAGACTCAGCAGCTCAATCAACAGAAGCTCTCCTTGTAAAAGTCACTGTCTTACACTTGCAGAAATTCTCCATGCTGCCCCCTCTCCTTTGGGCTGGATCTTAAAATACCGTCACCTCGACGAGAGCAGCATATTCTAACTGCTGGCTCTTTCTGTGGACGAAGCTCACAGCTAGAGGCTTGGACAGTGTCAGGGTCAAGGCAGTCATGCACGGCAGAAGCAACTGTTACTTCTAGTCTTACAGTTCCCCGTCTCAAGGCAAAAACATACAAACACTTCAAGGCTTGTTTAGCTGAACCTACTGTATCCTTCGGGACTTATCTAGATTCTTGTTCGTACTGGAAAAAAGCCGTAACAACACCCCATTCTCTGTACACACAAGTGTGGATAGCAGAAATCCAGCACTATGTGGGTAGGGACTCAGTCCTCTATACCAGGAGTTATAAAGGAACCCAAGAATTCACAGCAACAGGCACCACCAAATTACAAGTGCCCAGGTTTGAGGGTCAGTAGTACGACAGCATCCTACCCAGCAGGACCTCTGAGGAAACCAGACAGTTACCTTTATTGAAGAACATGGAGGCCATCTGGCCCATTTCCACCCTCTCTGCGATTTCAAAGATGTTGGGTGAGCCACGTCTCTCTGGAAATAAAAAAAGTGCCATTGGTTCCTCTTGAGAAACCCAAAGGAAGAACACACCCAGCTGGAGATAATGCAAGGCATTTCATGTAATGGTCCCGAGATGTACCTCTACCTCTACTTTGCTCCCATAATGCCATCACTCCAAAGTTGCAATTGAGAGGTTTCTGAAGCAAGACATTTCTGTCTCAGGAAGGAACCCAGTGGGAACAGCTCTGGGGCTGAAGGGGAAAGAAAAGCTTGGAAGCAGCAGGATAAATCTAACTCCCTACATATATCTGCCCATCTTGACGGACATGACAGCATTTACTACAGGAAAATTCCTGGAACATAGACACAAAGAACTCAGCAGTCACTAAGGGCAAGGTGACAGTAGAGTAGTCCCATTTCACTTAAAGAGGACAAAGATAAAAGCATGGCCCTGTCTGACACAGGAGTAGTATTTTGCTTCAAGTTAGAAAGCAAGTGGTAATGGATGTCTCACACTTACGAACTGACAGGATAGGTCGCGTCTCTGATCGTTCGTAGCCATCTTGGAGGAGAACGTCACTATCCGAAACCCCAGAGGAAGAATCCTCATCCTCGTCGTCTTCCTGGAAGGTAGGAAAACAAGTGCAACTGCCCAGGTTTTACTCTGTGATATTGGCTACCTGTGGCACATCTTGTGGCCACTATAGCACGAGGAAGGAACAACCCAGTAACACCGCCTCAATCCCATCTGCTCTTGGATGAAGTGGGTGGTGAGCAGATGAAATGTTAGAAAGTCATGCTGCCTGGCCTGGGAATGCGGGGAGAGCTTTCTGGGGAAGCAAAAGGATACTGGCAGGTCACTGAAGTGAACGACATAAAAAGCTGGACTCTTTCTGGATAGGTCATATATAGGGATCTCCATAAATCGTGCCATAAGTGCCCCCCTGCAGCAGCTCCTTTAATATTTTTTATTCTGCCGTTTGCCCACCCCCAAGATTGGCAGAAGGGTCCCGCCAGCTGGGCTGTTTGTTGATGATTGCCACGGAAGCAAAAACTGCAGCATATTTAAAACCTCTGCCAATCAGTGGGGTGGGAGGTTGAGGGGCAAAATGAAAAACATTAAAGCAGCTGCTGTGGGGGGCACTTCTGGCGTGATTTACGGAGATCCCTAGTCATATACCCTAGAGCCTTATGTTCACTCAGTGCAACAATAAAGGGCACCAGCAAGCCTGATGCAAAAAGTTTGTAGGTTTGGTGTTCAGCACTACAGCATGGGCACCAGACACATTTGAGCCAACTTTACATAGTGGCCTAGCTGGGCACTGGAAAAGCCACTCAAAACACAACCTTCCAATTAACACGAGGCCAAAATGTATACCTTGCACTGAGCCACAGCAGTTGCTAAATCCAGAACTTGGCAAAGCCAGCAAGAGAATAAATTCCTCCATGAAGACACAGAAAAGTGTCCGGGGCACTGCACAGAATACATGCCTAACCAGGGCATTCAAACAAGCTCAGCTGGAGCACTGGGATCCTGCAGTCCCTGGTCTCGGATTGTTTAGGGATATAATACATCTTTCCACACCCAGAATGGCACCCAGATACAGGCTGCTCCCACCCACTGTGGAGCATGGCACTGCATGAAATTAAGAGAGATCTAGGCAAGCATCAGGGTTTTTAAGAAACAAAAAGAAAATTGTGGATTTTATGGGCAACTCCACAGGGAATGACCACATTTTATAGGGAGAAGTTAACTAAGTAGAAATTTATTTCTTTATTAGAGTTACTAACGAGCAAGGCAGAGCCTGCAGTCATCTGAGGGAGCCCTCAGGGATTAAGGGAGAGAGACTGGAAACCAAACAAAACATCTCACAAACCTTGCGCTTCTCCATTCTCTTCCAACGGAGCTGGGCATTTGCAGCAGCCATGGCCTCCACCACAAAGGTTGTGGTCATATAGCTAAAGGAGAAACATGGTCATTACTGACTGATGACAAGGACCATGGAACAGGCTACTGGGAATTACTGACCGGGCTTTCTGAGGACAGCAGCTTTCTCCAGCTGCAGTCTCTAATATGCCGCAGTCCTGAAACTGTTACTAAATGCAAGATGCAGAGAAGGAATAAGTATGACAAGATTATTCTGGGGCGGGGAATTCTGACGTTTCTCAGATGAAGTTGGCATTTGGGAGGGCTGCATTGACCGTCCTGGGAAATGCTAGGGAACAGGACCATATTTAGGGGAAGGAGCCTCCACGGCTTATTCAATCCTTAGACTGCCTGAGGAGATGCAACTGCAATGCTGCTCTGCTAGGAGCTGGACCGAGACCAAATTTAAGTCAATTCTACAGCACAGGAGTTGTCACGCAACGGTGAAGGTGAAAGAGAGGTCTAGGCACCACGTTTGAATCCCGATAGGACCGACTTAGCTCCTCATCTTTCTTAAGGAGATCAATTGAGTGCAGCACAGGTTACTGTATGTGGAGTCTTTACACTGAATTCTTGGAAAACAGCGACCCTGTCTATTATGTGTAAATGCTAAAGATCACCAAGTTTTGCAGAGCAGAAACGCATCCCAGTATATCCATCGCCAACTTTCCCTGTCCTCCTCTTCCAGCACAGAGAGCTTCCCCAATGCTGGCAGTTATCCTTCACCCCAGAAACAGCTGTATTCCAGCTGTGCTGTATGCACCCACTCCAAGACATGTCCTGGGATGTAAGGCTTTACGTAGATGCTCAGTAACAAACATTCCCTTATGAATGCTATAGGATTAGGCAGAAAGATTTTTCTTTTGGTAAATGAAGAACAGAAAGGTACTTGTGGCTGCTTCATGATCTGTTGCTATGCCCAGCACAAGGCCTTGTGGACTGTTTTCTGCTTAAGCATTTGTCCCCTCATTATCCTCCGAGACTCACCCAGGAACTTGTAGCAAAAGAATAAATGCAGACAGAACAGAGCAAAAATACCTAGACATAAAAGGAACCTCCCTATTTCTAGAGTTATCTCAGAGATGATCAGACAGGACGCATGGACACATGCAAATGCTGTGGGGCGGGTTTTTGCTAGAGTAAATTCACCCTGGGCAGGCATCTACACATGCAAGGATTAGGGAGAAGATTTGCTGCTCCTGGCAGCAGTCTGCTCCTGCCCCTCTCCGACCATGCACCGGCCCTCTGCAGCAGGCAGGGGGAACATGGGGCCAGGAGAAAGCTGTCTCTTGGTAGGGGCTGGGCAATTGCTCCCTGCCCCCAGGAGCTGCCTGCTGCCAGGATGGGCTCCAGTGGCCAATCCCAGACAGGGCCAGGAGGGAGCAGCCAGCCCCAGCTTGCCAAGTGGGGGCAGGAGGCTTGGAAAGAGCCACAGGGGAGGGGCAGGTTCCAGCCCCCTGCCCCAATCCACCAGTGGGACAGCTAGCAGTGAGCAATCTCCCAGCCCCTGTTCCATGATCATGGAGCGGGGTCTAGGAGCTCAATGCTGCCAGGGCAGGGGGACATTGCCCCAGCCCAGGCTCTATCACCAGAGGCCACCCCAGCAGCTGGCAGTTTCCAGGGGCAGAGAGCAGTCTCCCACCCCTTGCTGCCTGGGAGCAAATTTGCTCCTGACTGGTTGTCTACACATGCCTTTCTGTGCACTAATTACTTGGCATTTAATTTGCTCCTTGCATTTGCTGGTAGCAAATTAACTGCCAAGTAGAGCAAATTACTGCAATAAGGATCAGCACGTGTAGAAGGCAGCACTTACTACACAGTAATTAGCTCTACTACGCAGTAAAGTGTCTTGTGTAGACGCGCCCACTGAGGCCAATTAAGAACTGCACTTCAAATGCTTCTGGAACAGAAGGTCTACAGCTAACTTGCATAAAACGGCAGTTATGGGCTCTGAAATATTAAGCTCCTGACTGAGGCACTGTCCCACAGACAGCACAGCCTCTCACTGCAGTGTGGCCTGACTTCCCACAGAAAGATTAAACTCAGCATGCAGTGTCCTGTAATTAGGCTTTCATTTCTCCACCTAAGAAATGCAAACAACACATGCTGGCCTATCTTACAGCACTGTGCTTCTTCCTCCTCATGCCTGCAAAACATTCTCAGATGAAGAGCTATGGAAGGGCACTGCGTTATTGTCGTAGAGTTAGGAGCAACAGGCAGATGATTTGGACGTCAAAAACTAACTCTGCCAAGAATGGAGAAAAGCTTTGTAAGGAATTAAATAAGGAGCAGGACAGCGTCTTTAAAAGGAGATGGCTGGAGCCACTGACCCATTGGAGGTCCCCGGTCCCCATTCCAATTTACTTACCCGCTTTTAGGCATAGATTGTCATTATCTCAGCTCAATGCCCATTTGAAAGGTTCCTATCCCCCTCGCCTTTTAATAAAACCCAAATCAATCTTATTTAAGTCTGTAAAGCGGTTTCTTACTGCTTCACAAACCGAACTCATTCATCAAGTTCAAATGAGAAATTAGTTTTGCTAGGATGGAAGTACGGCAGCCCATTCCCGGGGTGGGGATAATGATTTCCCCACGTAGGCTACTGCAGTGCTGAAGGTTCTCTAGAGGGTATTAGGGAGCCAGAAGTGCTAACACTGGAAGGAAATCAAGAGGGCAGCTCAACTCCCAAAGTACACGGTCCCAGTGCCTTATAAAGCCTGGCACAAGGACTGTACCAAGGTTAAACTGAGAAAGAGACATATGTGGCAGAAGGCACATGGCTGGACAGGGGCTTTAAGCTTTAGGAAGGATATTTCTTTGAAAGAAACTGCTTCAGAATTCAACCCCGACTGGTAATTTCTGTAGTCCTGGTCTATCAATAATCACTTGCACTTTCATAGAGGTTCTTTTTCAGGGTACCACAGTTGACAATTAAGCCTTAATACACCTGAGGTAGGGGATTTGCAAGGATCAGTTCATACCCCAGTAAAATGCAGCCTCCTCTTGAGTGGAACATGGCAGCTGTTCAATCTCCAAACAGCACAGGCCAGCAATTTAAGAAAAATATTGGATCTGACCTACAGTGTAGAAGGAATTTAGGATGCAAAATGGAATATGGCCAGGACACCAGGATGAGCACTGCCTGCGCTTGCAAAAAATAAGGTGATCTTTAGTGAGCAGGGAGAGACAGAGAGCTTTACATCTCTTTGGAAATAGAGCATGCTTTACAGGTGCTGCTGGAGTGCCCAAAACATCTGGTTTAATGAGACTAATTGTATCCAACTGCCTTCTGCTCCCCTGGTGCACAGGTAACCTAACTAAAGTTCAAAATTCAGACCAGCTTAGAGCAAACCTCACAACTTGCAAAGGGAGGCAGGGAGAATGAGGAAGGAATAGTTTTGTGGCAAGTGACCTCCTCTTTCATTGGTGTGGGTGCTCCAAGCTGCTGAATCAGTACAGACCTCCGTCTCTATACCCCAAGCATCTGCTGGCACTGCTTGCATCTCAGACCAAACACAAGACAGATGGGTTTAGAGGACCCAGCTGATCCTTTGAATACCTTAAGGTCTTCTCGTTGCGGCATACTTAAAATGGTTACAGTTCACACACACACAAATGTCTGACCAACTGTTTGTTATCACAATCTGGTCCATAATCAACTCAGCCAGAGGAGGCCAAGTCTGCCAACTCAGAGCAAGACTTGAAAACTTTGTCCGTAGTGAGCTGGAAACCTTCCCTGCTGAGCACAGGTGCCCAAACTGGCAGAAAGAAAGTGTTCAACTCTTATGAGGTCAAGATGTCCTTCCAAATGGGAATCATAAGAGAGCCGCCTTCCTGAGTCTGCAGAAAGACCTAGCCCCAGTGCCCCTGCTGTTGCTCAAAGCTTTGTAAGAGCTGAAGCAAACCCAATGTGCCAGGTCAGTTCCACAGCTGCTATGTGAAGTACAACAGAGGTGAACTTGTCAAGAATCACACCAATTTGGTGCTGCTGTTAGTGCTTGGGGAAAACTACTTGTCTTATAGATAGGCACTGGATAGATCAATGGGGGAGTGGGCCCCCAAGAAACAGGTGGGGAAAGGTTGTGTAGCAAAAACAGTCATGCAGGACACAGGAGACTCTGAAGCAGACAGAGAAGGTCTTGTCCTTTCCAACAGCGAGAGGAACTGCACCTCCAAACTGCAGGCCTCTGATAGTCAGAATTTGCTATGAAAACCAGAGTCTTTACACAGGGTTCAAGACAACTGTAGGCATCCGAGTGTCAGAGAGACTGGCCTTCTCACCACAGCATTGGCCTGCATCTTTTAGATAATGCCAGCCCCCACCCCCCTGCATGCTACAGACAGGCACAGATACAGCAAGCTCCTACCTCATGAAGCCCAGGAACATTAAGAGAATGAGGCTGACGAGCCATCCAGCAGTCGCAAAGGCCTTGGGCATGGTGAGGGCTCCCGTCCCAACGATAAGGTTGAACATGTAAACCAGACCGACCTGCAATCAGCCAGACAATCAACATTAGAGTCTGCAACCACCCTGGGGGAATTAGCTGAGATAATGCAGTGATGCTGCTATGTGGCTGGAATGTGACCTGTGTACGTATTTGGGGGAGGGAGCACAAGTACAGGGTAGAAGTGAAGGTAGGTGGAGATGACTCTGAGAACAAGAGAGAGGTAGCCAAGGGGATCAAGATATTAGCATGCCCCCAGTGAAAGACATTCCCCTTCAAATCCATTCTCTTTGGGACTTACAGAGCATTGCAATCCAAGCCTCAGTAGATGCTGAGCTACATCATAATCACCCCACAATGCACCACACATCAGAGCCACAATCTGTGCCAATAAGGGACTGGATGCATGGCAGTTGTATTGTAGCAGCTTGCAACCTTGCCTGCATTTTTGTGCCTGGCGCAGGCTAGCTCTACGTGTGCTTCAGTCAGTTTTAAGAATTTACTGGCTGCATAACCTATCAACAGTTACCGGGGGACAACTCCTCCCAGCCACTCCAGATAGTCAGGCACAGCCTCTGAGATTTGCACAGAAATCTCATGACATCAAAAGGTATTTATGGTAGTTGAGGACTGCAAGAGATTAAATCACTTCCTCTAGCCCACACCATAGCAAAGTTAATGTTTATACCCAAAAAAGCTGCTGGAACCAAAAATAGTGGGGGTATAAAGTACTGGAGAGTCTGGAAGCACTGATACACTCTTGGCCCCACCACCCAACTTCCATTTCCAAGACCCATTCTTTTAAGCTGGTATCAGCAAGTAAAACCAGATCTGCTGACCAAAGCAATGGGGTCTAGGAGCACCGTGTGACCCAAACTGATGAATAATCCTTGTGGCTGGAAGCCTTTGGCTCAATGAACATAATTTGCTCACTCGGCAGCTTTGGGAGGGGGAAGATCATAGATTGTGTCATGGTACGATTACTCACATTTCCCTGCAGTCTAGTACCAGTTCCTCTATCACAGGCTGCTGCAGCTGCAGTCCAGGAAGCACAGCAGAAAGAGATATCAGGATCTGTAAGGAGCTAATTCCTGGAAAAATCATGCTGCTCCCTGAACAATACACTACACTGTGATGGGTATGGTCTTTTATGATGTCACCTCTACAGGAGGGATGGCATAGATTCTGGTATGCTCAAATTGATTGGTTACGAGTGCACATAGCTGAAGCAGCATGTTTTGAGATGGTGGACACAAGAATGAAGCATCTTATCTAGGATCATGACCTTGTTTTTGTCCAACAGCAGACTACAATCAGATGGGATTCCTTGCAAATCCCATAACACACAGCTGACATAAGGGCGGTTGGGGGGAGGAGGGGTCCTCTCTCATGGTCTTGGCCTGCCAAAGAGAAACAGGCACCTGAGTAAGGCACTTACTTCCTGGTCTCCCTGTCTCAAAATGTGTTTCACAGTTGCTAAGGTCTGGAAGGGACCTTACAGATCATTGGGTCCATCATGTTGCTCTAGCTATGTGCAATCGTATGAAAAGAGGTCATAAATTTAAGACGACCCTCCCCTATATTAACAGATTTTCTAAGAGATGTTATCATAATAATTATAACCTAAAATATCACATATATAAGATGATAAAAGGTTATACCGGCTGCCACCTCAGAGGGCACTTTTCAGAGAGCAGGGGGTGATCGGTTAGTAGATCCTGACAGCTCTTTCCACTTGTGCTCACTGGAAAGTGAATGGCAAATTGATCTATTGAGAGGTCTCCCAAAGGACCAGACCGCAGCCTTCCCGGCCTGCAGAAAGGCTCTTTCACTCTGTGGGCAGAGGTGTCGTTTCCTACATACATCACCTTCTGTTCCAAGTGCCAAGGGCCTCAGCTCATTCACTCAGCACCAAAGGTCTTTTGGACAGAAACCCAGGTGATTTTCCTTGACTTTTGTTGAATGGATGCAAAGACTGGCACTGCATTTGTGTACTCAGATTCAGGGGCAGACAGATCCCTGCAGCCTCAGAAAGAAGCTTAAGTTCCTCAGAGCTCAGACTACATAAGACTTCTGCAACACTAATATTTTGTACTCAAGATACAGCAAGAAAAAAGCTACTAAGTGCTAACAAGCCAGAATTCAACATTCCCCCTCAAACTGGCTTGCTTTACACTAACCAAAGTCAGTACCAAAAATACCACCTGAGAGCAAAAACATTCTCCCTATATGAGTTTCGACTTCCTCATCTCAGCCTGGTTCAGGACCATTGGCCTAAAGAGGTTACTTGCCCTGAATGATTTTGTGCTGGTTCAATGGTGCATTTCTGCTCCTGGCTAGACACTTAAAAAGAAAAAGAAAGAAAGAAAGAAAGAAAGAAAAGTGTGTGGGATGCATGCTGCATTAGTAGATTTGGTTGGCTATGGAAAACGACAATAACTTCCACAAATAAAGACATTAAAAATGAGAGAGAAAATCTATGCCCAATTCTAGCAAGGTCTGGGTGTACATGCTGCTACTGATGTTACAAGCAGCTCTTGTTAAGTAAAGAATATTTAAGACTTATCTAACTTCACCACCACTCAATATTTCCTCCACTTAACTCAGCTAAGCCAATGTAGCTACCCCCAAGTGGAAAGGCTTATGACTTTACAGCAAAAGGACAAGCCACAAACAAATGTATCCACAAACCATAATGAAACAGCCAACATTAAAGCTTTAAATCCAGTTATTTTGATTCTGTCCTGCTCCCCTGTGCCCTTCACTTTTCAATTTTGTCCAAATTTTAGCTGCTAATACGCTTATGATATCCTAATGCCCAGTTCTTCCATAAGATTATACAGAGTCCCTAGAGTTAAGATGAACATTTCATAGCACGTGAAAGCTGACATGCCTTGATATGAGAGCCAATCCTTTCTAGTGCTGGTCTTTAATGTTTCTTTAGATCACTTTGGGAAAAGTGGTGACATGGTAATTATAATAATTTTGAGATCCAGACTTGGCCTGTCCCACAAGCCATGAACACTATTGTTCCTAGCAGCACTCAGAACAAGCTGCAAGCCTGCTGGGTTTATGAGCTATCTGATCTCACAATGCATGCTGGTGCTCCACAATGGCTATGTATTTTTAATATGTTGGAATTGACCCAGCAATCCCCAGACTTTGAACAACTGGAATTTTAGATTTCCAAGCTATGCCTTGCCATGTGTACATCACAGGTAATAAATCAAAACTTTGATGCTCCCTTTAAAATTGTACCTGTAGACTCTACCCTCCTTTCATAGCTGGCACAGAAAAAAGCTCATGTGAAATTATTTTTATATGCCATGATTTCAACTAACACTGGAAACGAAAATGACTAGAGGAGTGAAAAAATAAAGTTTTTCCAATGTACCTTTTTAGTTTGCTGCTTACATCTGACATGCTTTACACACAGTTATTTTCAGCCTCTACGGTCAATTTTGCGTCCAATACAATTGCCCTCCTAGTCATAATTTCTCATCCAGCAACAAGGGAGAAGCCATTTTTAAAAAGGAAAATGTGTTTGTAAGACCACAAAGTAAGCACATACCGTTGAAGGCAGGTGCTATATCTTAAGCTTCTTTTTCAAAATGATTAAGCGTTAAGGCAACTGTGTTTCCTTAAGGTTTGTGAAGTTACTCATGATGTAAAAATGAGAACATTATAGCCCACTATTTTAGAATAGCTTATGTCAGGGAAGCAAATGGATGCCTCTCAAAAGACAACTGAGCCAGAGTTACAGTAAGGTGATGCCATTTTCAGCATCATGTTTTTTTAAATGTAGGTTGAAAAGGGACCAAGACAAACAACATACAGTGTTCGAAGACACTAAGATCCCTAAGCTGTCTCACCGGACTCCAGATGTTTTAGATGCTTTCATACAGTAAAGCAGTCTTTGGTTGGTGTCACGTAAAACTAGATCCCACAGGTAATAAGATGAACACAATCACTGCCCTCCCCTGACTTTATGTGGCTTTCCTTGCAATGCTGACACTGATTATCTTAATTTCACTTCCTGTTTCCCAAGGAAGAAGATACCTTGGCAGCAGGGAGGATTTTGAAGACCTCTCTTCCACAAACAAGCAGCTGTGCCATATTCCAATATTAATACTCACATAAGGAGAGTAGAGCTCCCCTGTGTCAGTGATGCCATTCGCCATCTTTGAAGATTGAGGGGCCACAGCTGGAGAAATGTTGTCTTCTGTTTCCACTGCCTCTAACCTAAAAGAAAAGAGCATCAGGCCTGGTTATTACTACAATGAGATATGGCTGTCGCAGAGCAGCAAAACTAATGGGCAACGAGCTGTTACGGTGAGTGGAAGAGGATTCCAGTGACACACTGCAGTTAGGACTCTGCCCTGTGCTTGAACATCAGCACACACAGCCCTTTCTCCCCATCCCCTTCTCCCCACCCCAGCCTCCCCAACCCTCTGCTCTAGCAACTCTTTGCTTTCTTGGAGACGTCCACAAACATTACCAGCGAGCTGGACATCAAGCCTGGATTACCCACTGAGAAAGATGCTTTCTATGCAGCAGTTCCCATGTACGCAAGTCAATCAACTATTTACCCAGGCAGTTAGACAAGAAATGATCATGCTTTGAGCAGAAAACAGAGCCTTCCAGCTTTCTTTTCTTTTTTGTTTTGCTATGACAATGATTAGATCACACTACCACCTACATAAGAGCCTGTGTCCTTTGACATTCACTACCGCACACAGCTCCTGCTGGCTCTTACAGAAGAAGAAAGAGGATTCATAATCACTCCCAGGGACCTGAGGAAGAATGCCTCGCATTCAAAAGCTCGTCTAATTCAATCCCAACTATGCAGCTGGTCCAGTAAAAGGTATCACCCTAAGAAATCCCGTCCCTCCCAGTATCCCCAAATATAAACAGGCGACCCTTTTGGATGTATTAGTACAATTCAAAAGCTCGTCTAATTCAATCCCAACTATGCAGCTGGTCCAGTAAAAGGTATCACCCTAAGAAATCCTCGTCCCTCCCAGTATCCCCAAATATAAACAGGCGACCCTTTTGGATGTATTAGTACAATTACTGCAAGCTGTTCTGAACCTACTAGGTAGGGTGGCCTATAAATCAAATAAATAAATACATTCATCATGTTATGGCTGGACCTCAATGATACAAGCCTTTGGTGAACTTCACAATACCTACGAACACATACAAAGACAAATGCTGCGAAGAAGAGGTGCCCTTCGACCGACATCTTCCGACAGAGCCGGCACAACGGTTGTCTGATGGAGTAACTGAACCCAGAAAGCCAGGGAGATAGATAACTTACAGACTAAATATAGAGAATACAAGCTTTTGTGAACGGGCGCTCACGTTGTCAAACGCTGTAAAAGGACAGTACAGAGCAACGTGTAACGTGGAGCAAGTTGAATACAAAAGGTGGGAAAGGAGGCAGGGGGATGGTGCTGGGAGCAAGGGGTCACAAAAGCCAATCCAGGGGCACCGAGGCTGGAACGAGTCATGCGACACAGGTGTGTGTGTGTGTACACACGTGTGCTCACGCCTGTCTGCCCCTCGCTCCCAGGCCCCAGCCTTGCTGCTGCCCCTCACTCCCCTCCTGACCCACGGCCCCGGGGACGCCCTGTAGCCCCCGACACCTTCACAAATACCACCCCCACCCCCTTCCAAAACAGCATCTCATGATTCACGTGCCAAATCTCTTGATTTTTAAAAGTTGGTCTCATGATTTCGGACCCGGCGGGCTTGGCCAGGCCCCGCTCAGCACGCGCGTGCACCACTCACACGCTGCCGTATATGTACGGGGGGACGTGCACCGGTGTGTATGCACACATGCGCACACGCCCGTATCCTGCGGGGCCGCGCCAGCCGGGACCCCCGCCCCGCGATCACTTACCGCTCGGACCCCTCATCGCAGACCTCCCGGCGCATGCGCAACCTCTCCCCAGCCGGACAGCTACCTTCCGCACGCGTGACCAAGGCAACTTGGGTGCCTCCGCCGCGGATTGGCTGCCGCGCGTCACGTGAGAGGGGCGGGACCGAGGCGGCCAGGGTGGCAGCGGCAGAGGAAGGGCGGAAGTCAGTGGGGCGAGGAAAGGGGAAGCGGGTGCGCATGCGCACGGGGTACGGGGGCTTCCGGCAGGTGAGGGAGACACGTGGTGGACGCCGCAGCGACTGCCACAGCTGGGCCCGCATCCGCGGTGCAGGAAAGCACGGGGTGGGGGCAGAATCGCGCGCACACGCGTGTGTGGTGAGGTGTGTGGTGGGGGGGGTGCGGTGGAGGGCGCGAGTGTGGGGGGTGTGTGTGTGTGTGAGATTGAGGGGGTGAGGGGGCACGTGTGTGTATATGGGGTGCTACATAAACTACCCGGCCGTAACCCTGAAAGGGTTCGAGAAGCTGGAGGTGCAGCCATGGGCGGATCTGGGGTGTGGATCTAGGAGCTGAGGCATACCCTCCCCTATGAAACGAGATGGATTTTTCTCCAGTTGAAACATCCAGGAGAAGCTTTGCTCACACGCCAGGGGCCCCAGGCTGTGTTATTCGGTATAAGTTTGAAGTCAAAACAAACACAACTTCCTTGGAGTCGGTTAAAAGCAATCTGCAAGGCTGTGAAATAGGAGCCTCGTTACCAGGAGAAGCTGACAGCAGCTTGGCAAAAAAAAAAAAAATAGCTTGATGGGTGGAACATCAAGATCTTTAAAAAAAGAGAGAGAGTTGTTAACACCTGTGCCATGAAGAGTTTAGAAGGGATCAGGTAGATGACGATGAGCCGTGGAGTCAAGTGACTCCTTCAGCCCTGCCTGCCACAGCCAGGCAGTTGGCTTTGACCTTTGGGTGGAGCAGGGATCAAAGAGAGGTGCAAATGCCCCAGTGCACCCTGCCCCCTCGATCTGCCCCTGGGTGTAGCTGATCTATTTTGAAGACCTTCAACATCTCAACAGGCTTTGGTGATTTCCTTTCTGTCTCTTTCTTTCAGCTGTCAGACCATGAAGATCAACCAGAACACGGTGCTGCAAGGGAAGAAGGTGGCATTGGTGCCATATACCGCTGCCCATGTGCCCCGGTACGCAGCCTGCCTACTCGGTCACAGCTGCTTCTCATTTTAAGATTCAGCTTGAAGTAAATGTACCTGTTGTGAAAGGGGCTGGGGACTATTTCAGCAAGGAGGTGGCATGGTAGAATCAGGGCCAGTTTGAGCTTTGCTTTGGTTGTGCTGAGCCCTCTTGCTTTATCCTGCTGTTTAGCAATCACAGCTAAGTGGGAGGACAATTTGGTGTCTTGGTGCTCTCAGCCAAGTCGGTCAGTAAAGAGAGACAGCTAATGCCAGCTCTATTAATACTTCTCTTGAACTCTGGTTATGATACGAGGTACTTGTTCAGTTATGCCTGGCCCTGACACACCGGCTGATTTCATACAGATAACCACACATCCATCACATGCAACTGCTGCTTTCACAATCACTGTTACCATTCCCCAAAGTGAAACTTTAGCTCCTAAACCTGAGTGGGAGGTATTGAAGGAGCTTAAACATTAAGCACAATGAAACTATAAATGGTGCAGAGAGACATGAAGTAAAATGTCAAACACCAGAATTAGTCTCTTCATTCGAGTGCAGGAGATTTTATATGGCTTCCTATGTTATTTCAGGGAATTAAGTGAGGGTTACAATCATGTATGCCAGCCTGCCATTTCCTGAATAGACTCATTGTAGGGGTGACAGTGACCCTTAAAGGTTCATATAAACATAATCAGAGATGTGCTAAACAGACCTGGATTCTGTCTTTGGCTTCCTTCCTCAGGTACCACGAGTGGATGAAATCGGTGGAGCTCCAGCGGCTGACTGCTTCTGAACCACTGAGCCTAGAACAGGAGTATGAGATGCAGCGCAGCTGGCGGGAGGATGCAGACAGTGAGGAGTTCAAACATTTCTTAGGAGCGGGAGGGAGTTGAGAACTCTTTCCCCTATATGCTGTTAAGAACAGTAGCTATCTCTTTGAGTTTCTGGCAAGAGAGATGCCACTAGCCTGTGCTGGAAGGGGTGTAAGACACCACAGCAAGGCAGTAGCTTCACTATAGTCCTGCTTCAGGCTAGTGTCCTGTTCAACAGCCTCTTTTTCCCCCAAGCGCTTTAAAATTCATGCGTATGCTCAGATTGTCTTGCAGATTACTGTGGCTCATGGACACCTAAGGTATGAGTAGTCACCTGGACCTCTGAAACCCAGGAAATGCAGAGTGAAAGCACAGGCCCACTTGATGACTAACAAGAGTTAGGATCAGTCCACCTTAGCTGGGCATAAATAATATGTCTGAGGTGTGGATCATGATCAAAGCACCTAGGATTCCCAGTCTTGGATGCATTCATGTTTCTTACTATACAAATAAGAAGGAGCTTACCCCAAAGAGTTTACAATCCCAGCACAATACAAGGTGCAAGAAATAGAATCAGCCGAGCAAAAGAGCATGAGTGAACCATGTGACAAGCAGTCAACACACCCACAGCCCAGATGTTCTCAAAGCCCTTATCAGCATCACAGCAAAAAGGGGGTTGGTAGAGGTTCACAGCTAGTTTCTCCAAAGTATGACCAGTCACATGGGAGAGAATAAGAAAGTGTCTGAACATTTAGCAAGTGTTTGATGTGGGCTGTTGGAGGTGGAGTCAACAGTAAGATCCTGAATGGGAGATATTGGGCCACGAGGGGACCTTGAAAAGGAAAACAAATAATTGCCCTTTGCAGCAAAGAGTGACAAGATCAGAGCTGTAGGATAAAGCAAGGGTGTTAAAAGTAAGGCTTGTGAGCCAGATCTGGCCAGTGGAAATAAGTTATCCAGTGTGCAGTAGAGGTGCGCTGATACATCAGTCCTATCGTATCGGCACCAATAAAAGGAAAATTGACACTCTCGGCTGCTGGCTTTTTTGGCTGATGTGGCCCATGCATGTGTGCAGCCTTAACCGTCATGGCGCCCTGACATTTGCCTTACTTCTGGGTCTGGATCTAGTCCCCAAGAAACCCCACAGTCTGGATCAGACCCAAAGGGCTGGGTGAGTTTGCCCCTGAGCTAGAGAAAAGCTGGCACTGGCATTCTGTGTCAGTCTGAATCCATCTGCCTGGGGGGCATTTGCACCTAGTCCTTTGAGGGATTGGATGAATGCTGAGAGTGTCAGAGCTCTGCTGTATCCATTCTTGCTAACAATGATGTAATTTCTTACACTCTTCTCCCCTGCACAGCAGCTGGGCAGCCAACTCTGATCTGACTTGATCCCCCTAAATGGGTGGGAGGGGGGCTGTATTTCTCTACTTGAAATGGAACAGCTTTCCAAGTCCCAGGTTTGAGTTTGCTGCCTGAATCGTTTCTATTAAAGGGTGGCAAGTTGCTGGCAGTGAGAAGCAAACTGCTATAAATGCATAGTGGCAAACCACTGAGGCTGGGACAGACCTGAACTTGTGACTTCTGTCTTGACTGATGTTTTAGGCCCAGGGAGATGCACCAAAGGGAGCAGATGAATGGACTGGGCAGCCTAGCAGGTCTCCTTGGTCTTTGGCCCAAGAAACCCTGAGTACAGCACAAGTTTGCTTTAAAATGAGACGCAATGAGGAAAACTGCATCCAGCTACAGTGCCTGTGTGAACCCTTCTGTCCTTGCAAACTGAAGCTAGGATGGCTTCTCCAGAGTATTTCTAGTACAGTCGGTGCTGCCATGCATGCCTGCCTGTCCCAGGAAGCCTGGGTACCAGTTTGCCCAGGTTATTAACACGTGCAGGATGTCGTGTCTCTGCCCATTATACATCTTTAATTTCATCCTTCAGTAATTTGCGAATGAACCTCGAACATGCTTGGAGGATTGTGCTGCTTTCCCATTTTCCCCAGAATGCACGTTCATTGTGCTGGATACAGAGAGGTGGTCCGGACAGGCTGGCATGGATGAGGACTGCATGGTCGGGGACGTGAATCTCTTTCTCACGGACTTTGACGATCTGGCTTTGGGAGAGATTGAAGTCATGATTGCAGGTACGTTCACTCTTCCCTCCGCTGCGTCTAATGCTGCCATCATCCTAGAGCCTGCAGTGACTTTTGGTCATGAAATCCCCTTTCATACAGATGGTTTCAAGTAGATTATGATGATCTGTCCCTCCTCTCAAACAAGCAACAGTGGTCTGTGCCAACTGAAGAGCATGAGGAGAATGTATAAGCTTTCTGTGCTGATTGAATTATGCTGATAAAGCTGTCATGATATGCAAACCATTCTCCATTCATCCTGCTTAGAACATCTGCAGAAAATCTGCTATAAGAACAAGGCCTGTGCTGTATAGAGTAAGACAAACTTCTATTCCTGTCTCTTTCAGAGCCCTGCTACCGCGGCAGAGGGTTTGGCAAGGAGGCCACTCTGATGATGATGTTCTACGGTATGGAGTGTTAAACCCAGGAGGGTTGGATGTATTGTGATAGGAGGGATTGAGAAGCAAATGTTCCCTTACCTTGTTGTCAGAGGTGGGAGGGGGCAGTAGGTAGGTCTTGGCCCCCTTTTTAAGGAGTATGGGACTCTTGCATGTGTAGTTCTACCAGTATGGAGGAGCATGGAGATTCTAACAGTAGGCGTGTTGGTCTTTTTGGCTTTTCCCGCAGGGGTGACAAAACTGGGAATCACCAAATTTGAGGCTAAGATTGGCCAGGAAAACAAAGCTAGCACCAGCATGTTCAGGAAGCTTCATTTCAAGGAGGTAACAGCCTGTTTTGTACTGAGGCAGCTTTTCCCTATGAAGCAGCATTTCTTCTTCGAGTGAGATTGAGTTGGATTGTGTTCTCCATGCTACAGGTTGCTGTGAACAGCATCTTTGAGGAGGTGACATTGAGACTGGATGTGAGTGAGCAGGAGAAACACTGGCTCTTGGAGCAGACAGGCCACGTGGAGGAGAAAAGCTACAGGGATATGAAGCTGCAGAACCTGGCCTCTGAAAGCTGATGGCTGTCCTGGAAGGAACGATGCATGCACATGTTAGCTTTCCAAGAAGGAGCTGTTTGACAGTGTCACCAAGGGTGTGGATGGCAAATGTCTGTGCATCATTAGTAGATCAAACAACAAACTTCAGCTGCTTTGCTGCTGCTCTAGGTACCCGGGGTACCACAGAGCATGGCTGACTTTCCACTGCAGCCCCAATACAATGCCTGCAGGAGAATTCCTTCAGAGTACAGCCCAAAAACTGGATGAACACGTGCTAATAAGAAAGCACACAAATACAGCTCAGCTGGGAAGGGTCCTTTTAGCCTCAAAACATCCTGTTTCTACTCTCAGGGTCTAAACATTTTATCACCAAATTAATTACTGGGTGAGCAGAGTAGTCTACAAATACCACCAGTGTTAGCAGTGGTGTTCAGCATCACAACAGCAGGATAGTCTGGCCTGCTTTCTCTTGAATAAAATTTGATATGAGTATGACATGCTGTAGCTTGACCTGGTCAGGCATGTTGCTCAGCTGCTACCTTTGGTTGTAAAATGCTGGTCAGCAGCAGTGGGGAAGGGAATAGGCTGGGGAAGGAGGGACGGGGAAAAGAATTATTCTGAGTACCTCAGACATGAGTTGGTGGGAGTGTCAGCAGGTCTGTTAGATCAGTACTTATTACTGCAAATTCTTCAGGTGCCTCATGGCTTGTATGTTAGGCTTCCACCTTGCCTTTTAGGCTTAATCCTTGGGAACCGCCATTTCTAGCTACCTCCCCACTAAGCTGTGGGAATGGGGCTGTAAAGCCAGAGCCCCATTGCTTAGCATGAGCACAGCTTCATGAGAGAGGCTGGTACAATTAAAATATTAAGGGCCCCATCCTGAGGTGCTGAGTATCCTTCATGGCTGCTGAGGTGAATCTGAGGGTGAAGTTGCATGTCGCACTTAGACCATACTAAATCTGTCGAATGTTAAGTGGAGTTAAAGTTAGAACATGCAGTGAGCAGTCACATGTTTAGGGTTAATACCATTTTTTGCCTGCACAGCCCTGACTTAACCACTATAGGGCTAGGGAGCCAGGGATATGGTCAGGACCCAGAATAACTTGACCCTATACAGTATATTTGCAGTACAGTGCATTGCAGTGAAATGCAGTGAATTTTGGGATGCTGGAGGACTGCAAATCACTCATTTTATCTCCATGGAGCTGACTGAAGTTACTGTAATGTGAACTTGGTAGCATGGCCAAGAGTTAGCCCTCGCCTGGAGTGGTGTAACTTTGAGACATTTAAGGCTCTTATACACATGCATGGAGCCTGCTTCAGTGCACTGGAAATCCCGCACATTGAAGCACACTTGATTAATCAAGTCTGCTGGAGCACGAAAATTGATGTGCTCCGGTAATCTTCCACATCACGTGTATCAGCATCCCCGTGCTGCAAAAATGGCGGTGAGGTGCTTTGAAATAAAACGTGTTCAATGAGCTTTAGTTCAAAGCTCCCCGCTGCAATTTTTTCAGTGTGGGGACATGCAGGGACGCTGATACACATGACGCATGGGTGCTTTTAATTACCGCAGCTTGCTAATTAAAGTGCCCAGCGCCGCATCCCAAAACGCATGTAAAAATGCCCATAGAGGGCGCTTAGCTCAAGTTAACAAGCTTTAACATGTAGATGCTTCTGTTTTAAGTGCCCTTAGTATAGCCTTAATGTGCAGCTTCACCCTGAGGTGTGGGGACCTGCTAAAGGATGTCTGGTTGACTTCCCTATTGCCAGCAGTGTTAAAGAAGGATGCTTCTAAAAGATGGGAAAGCAGGCACTAAATTACTATAGGTAAGAGGGGACATAAAACTGGAGATGCCAAGCTACTTACATCACTAGAGGATGATTTTTGGAGGGGAGAATTATCTGTCCCAGGACTACTCAGTACAAGTATTGGAAAGGAGGTACACGGCTGTGATAGAGATTCCCACAATAAGTTGAATGAGGAAATTCAGTTGCAACAAGGGTGTAAAGGATAAGGTAGCCAAGATACTATTATGCTTGTTTGAAAATCAGTGTTACCAGATGATAAGGGCACAAGGGCTGTTTGCATTACAGTAGCCTTATTGACTAATTCCTTTAATGACCAGAAATGTTTAATTTCTGCTGTGTTGGATAATAGGTTTCCAATCTGAATGGGGATATATTTAATCAGTAATTGGTACCCTGCAGAATTTTTAGTGCTGCTATTTGTGTGTGCGGGTCCTGGGGATTTTCATTCTGATTTGAGTTCATTTAAATGCATTATTTCTATGACTAATATTAAAAGCAAGTGCAATAGTAGCGTATTGTGGTCTTTTAATCAGCCAGGAGGTATTTAGGGTGGATTTGCTTATAAGCAAAAGCCTTGCAGAGTAATAAAGTGAAGAGCAGCTCTACTTAGAGCTGGGATTAAAGTTACAGGGGCTATTAATCCTCCTGCTCTTGATCACCAGCTGGGATCAGGAATAAATGTCCCCCTGGTAGAGTATTTGCACAATTCAGGTGCATTATGGGTTTTTCTCTACTTCCATTTGATATAGGATTGTGCTAGAGGGAAAATTTGGGACTGTGTGCGCCTTTATTTGGAGATGATCATTGCCATGTCTCTGATATCTGCATTTAGGGCTTTTAGAAATCCCTGCAAAGAATTTTTTTGAAGAGAAAAAGCATCACTACTTACAGCATGGAAATAAGGACACTTATGATGCTACAGTGAAGTCACAGCTGCCTTCTGAGGCTGGGAAGTAAAACATCTTCCTTTTGGCTTCCACAGGATTCAGACGTGTATTACAAGGAAACATTTCTTCTCTTCCTAAAATGGGGTCTTAATTTTGTTGCAGTCAGTGAGAAGCAAAAAGAACAGAACTGCACAGCTCAAACCTGAAAATGAGCTAAAAAAGGAGTTTATTTTCAAACTTGTAATATAAAATAGGCTGTTTTTGATTTTTCCCAATTTCCTGAAAACAGACCTGGGTGGGGCTGAGGTCCAAATTGTATGGGCCAAAGTCCTGATTTTATTAGACAGCATTGGTATTTACCACCAGGAGATGGCAGACGCTTGTGTTTCCTACAGTATATGAACTGTGACAACAAAACAGCACCTTGGCTCAGCTCAGTCTTCGAATGAGCTGTGGTGTACGCACTCTGCAGTGGCCATGCCTCATTGCCTGGTCCAGAAACCAAAGTAGACCCAGAGAGAGGGTGGGGAGAACACAGAACAAATGGACACGGGTCATAAAGGGAGAAGGGCTTTGAAATCAATGTGGGATGTTCCACACGCAAAGCACAGTTGTAGGGGACAGTTGGTGTCGGTGCCCAGTAATTTCTTTCCTATATAATCAAGTCTGTTAGTTAATTACACACTACTTAAGTTTAGATAAAAAACTAGCTAGCTGCTGTTAGTAATGCAGATCAACACATTTTCCTATGTTGCTTCATACCATGAACCATCTTTCATCACTTTGTCCCACCCCAGATTTCTTCAAGGCTGCAATATGAATGTGTTGAAAGAAAAATGCCTAAGAGTGCTGAGGAACCCAAGGACAAATGCTAGTCGTGGAGATCCAGCAACTCTAATACTGATCAGCAACACCATGGGGAGGACTTCCTTGATGGGACATAGCTTCAGTGGCCTTTCAAGGAGTCTGTTTCTGTGACTGCAGGTGGAGGGGAATCAGCGGTGGTGAAAGTGGTGGAAATGCGTCCATTTAGTCCACAACTGCTGCAGAAGGCCAGCACTGCCTGGATTAGTCGCTACCAGTGAGGTAGCCTGTGTAACAACTGTACAGGGGTTCAGCTCTGCCCTGGCCAACAGCATCACAAGACTAAAGGAAAAGGCACAGAGAGGTTGGGAACAATGGCACCATAGGGCTGAAGGACTGGGCTATGCTAAGGATTTGTGAAATACATTTTGTAAACAGAAGACTTCAACTTCCAAGTCTGGGGCAGAGGAGATAGGAAGTGGGAGCCCATATCTGTCTTATTAGGTATCCCCTGGGCCTTCTGTCTGCCATGCTCTTCTCTTCAGAGGGATCTGCCTAAGGGGAATGTCATGGTACAGACACGCCTGCCCTTCCTCACTCTTGGGCTGCCATTTGAACAAAGGGCCTGGTGCATGAAGAGACCTTTGACTGGGATCAGTTGATACTGGAGCATTCCCCAGCCAGGACTTGGGCCCAGCCCCTTGGCAAGGCATGGCCTCTGCTGGAGGCTGCAAATGCGGCTTGTGCCAGTCATTGGCATTGCAGGTGGAGATCTTGCTCCTGTGAACCCTCAGTCTGGCTAGGGCAGACTCTGAGAAGGTGCTGCAAGCACTTGGTAGCTCTAGCTGCTTACCTGGGGCCAGTGACACCTTCTCCGTTTGTCCCTTCTTCTCAGCAATTCTCTTCTGAGCCTGTTCCAGACCACTCTCCAGGTGGCACACATCCTCCGTTACCCTAATGACCCGGTCAAACTGGTCCAGCAGGTTGTTCAGGGCAGAGGGAAGGCGCTCCAGATAAAACTCCACCTTGTAGGGCTCAGGGGCAGGGCTCTCGGGAAGGGCCAGCTCCTCCGAACTGAGGGAGCCGGAAGAGACGGTAGAGCTGGCACAGCGAATGACCGTGCCAGCCGAGGGGAGTCGGGAGTGTTTGGAGTTCCCAGAGGAATGGGAGAGCAGGGAATCCATCCCTTCAAATTTCACTTTGTGACGGAACTGAAAGACAAAAGGAGTGGGAACGTGGATGATCACACGGTCTCCCATCACCAAGGACATGGGAGCTACAGTGGCTATGTCCCCTGTCCCTGAAGGTTACATACAGGCTTTTTGATCCCACTGTACATTTTGTCAATAGCTACGATGGGGTTAATACGGGATCAACCGAAATCATAGAAATCATTAAACAGGGCTGGAAGGGACCTCCAGAGGTCATCTAATCGAAATCGAACCCCCTGCCTGAAGCAGGATCATCCTTAGTCGAACCAGCCCATACTAATCCATAATTTAACCTCTGTGTAAAACTACCATCAACCCTGACACAACACAAGACACGACACCCAAGCCTGCCACGGGTAAAGCAGGGGAACCACAGCAGCCAACATCCTGCTTCTGTAAAAGTTTGTTATTTGCTCAAGAGATCCCAGGTAGAGGGCTACCTCTGTGCTAGAGGAAGGCAAAACCCCCCACAGTCCATACCAATCTGACCACAGATTGGTAAAATTCCTGCCTGACACTAAATCTGGCAATCGGTCTGATCCTGAGGAGAGGGACAAGACCCCATAGCCAGGAACCTCTGGCTTTGGTCCCAGCAAGAGCATTGGCACAGCCCAGTCAAAGTCCCCAGTGTTGGCTGTAGCCAACACCCAATGTTTTTGAGGAAGGCTTAAACTCCCTCCCCCAAAAAACCAAAAGAACAACGCACTTGTCATGTAGCAGAAAAGCAGGGGCAGAATTCCCTCCCAGCCTCATGTGGCAACCAGCAAGCCCAGAAGCCTGGGAAATCTCCATAGAGAACATAGACACAACTACACCTGGATCATCCCCGACCAGTGGCTGTCCATCCTCTTCTTGAACACCCGCAGTGATGCAGAGGCCACAACTGCCCCAGGTGTCTATATTCCACTGCCTCATTGTTCTAACAGTGAAGAAGTTTTTGCTGATATTCAATCTAAACCTACTTTGCTGCAGCTTCAGATATTTAGTAAATGGCTCATGGGCTGTTGGAAAGTCCAACAGGTAGTTTGCAACCATCTCCCAGTGGTGATGCGCAGGGGATGCATGGGGGTGCATGTGCACCCCTGAGAGTGCTGGTGCTCCCCCTGACAGGCAGCGCTCCCTGCTTAGGTGATGGGCAGGTTGGAGTGCCGGTGCCCCCCCGCGAGTGCTGGACAGTGAGTGGGGGCACCAGGTGAAGCGCCAGTTATCATGGAGCGCTGCTTGTGCTTCCCGGTCAGTGAGATTGGCGGTGGGGGGACCCCCCCCTCAATTGCCGACTGGCTGGCGGGGGGGGGGGGG